GTAACTAAGCCCTGATTTTTCCTCTATTATTGCCTGATTTTCTTACATATGTTTTAAATTATAGTTTAGATGTTTATATATGCCCGAGAAAAGAAAAAGCGCTTAGCGTAATTTCACATGTACAACAAAAAACCGCAATTTTTCTAGTTTATAGACTCATATAAGATTTGTTTTACTAGTCGATACGAGCAGAGTTAGCTCTTATAACTTTAAGAAGCTGGGGGAAAGCAAGAGAAGAGGAAGGAGTAGAAGACAGAAAGAAAGAGACGGCGAGGGAGAACGAGGAGCAGCGGGCTCTTTATACCCGGGGCCAAGCGGCGAGAGGGCGTGTTGCCCGATCGGGCGGGGCTAAACCGGAAGAGGCAGCGCACCGGCATCTAGGACTACCTTTAAAACAATACCATCACTGACCGCCCCGGATCTTTAATCTCAAAAACCATAGATCCCCAAGATCCATGTCTTCTTTCTTGCGTATTTGAACTTGAAAATGAGTCGGCCGCCCGGTTAGGAAAGAATGCGAGTCTTTTCCGTTCCGAAATAACTCATCCTTTTGACTGAGATATGAAACCGGTAGATGGGATGGGATGGCATACCTGCGGAATCTCTTTACCTGCTACTTTTCTCCTCCCTCCTCTGACTTGTTGTTTCAACTTGGATTGATGTGATGTGATAATCATGATGGAGTTTACGGAGTACTTATTCACATCTTCTGTGTGGTGCTAACTAGTGGGCTATCCCCCCTCTACCTTCAGTAATACCAGAATAGAATGGAAAGTGAAGGTCGTTGATCATCTGGCTGACGCAGTGGAGACACTTAACCCAACACGTACTATAGTAGCACACGAGGGCGCCCTCTGTTGTGATGTTGAAGGCAATTCAGGGGAATGTCAAGGGTGTTCAATGTTTGTGGATGCAATGACCAATCTGTCTTATGAAGCAATCGTTCTATACATAGGCGTGAACCTGTGGTCGGTCCGCTCAATGTCTTCTATCTTTCAATTCTGGCTCTGGGACTCTAGAAAAGCAGGGCGAAACTGTATTTATTCTATTTTTGAACGCCTTTCGTCTTCGTCGCCGTCGCTGATCTCATGCACCCGCATATCCATCCCAACCCGGAATCTGCGATCTCTCCAGACGACCGTCACGCCGCCCCAGAAAGCCCAGGTCCAGATCGGTAGGGCGAGGGTTTCACGTGCAAGCCATGCGGCCAACCATTCGATAAAGGGGCGGCGGGAAAGTGTTTGAAGGGGGCGCGCAAAGAAAGGCACGTCATTGCTGTTATTGCTGAATTGGATGGTCTTGCCCGAGTGTAGGAGAAGGTAGACAGACCAGTCGACGAGGGCCCAGAGGGAGATGCTGATGAGCCAGAGGGTAGCAAAAGCGGTCCACGTTTGAGGAATGCCGACATTGTGTGTAAACCAATCCAAGGAAGTGGCCGCAAAGGCGCCATAAGCGGAGCAGAGGAAGCTCTCTGTCCCTGGCTCTACTAGCGTTGCGAGAGTGACGGTGAATTTGCGAACGCGTAGCCAGCGGACTCGGCGAGCGATGTAGGCGGCAAGGCTCATATTTGCGATGGGCTGGATGGCTAGGTCGCCAAAGAGGAGGGCGTGGTTACCGAGGTTCGGGTCGGAGGGGATGGTGCTGCGCCAGAGGAGGTCGCCGATCAGGTGGTCTTCACAGATGTTGTGGGAGAAGAAATCGATGCCTTCACCATTACCTGGACTAGAAGACATGGGGGTTTTTGAGGAAATATGTCTAGGAGAAGTTAAGTAGTTGAGATGCGATCGTCGAAACATATTTGACTTGCCGACGATGCAGGGTGCGACTGCTACTGTGTTGATGGCTGTGTAGAATTTTGCATGGGATGACGAGAGGAAGAGCTCTTCAAGGCGTCCTCCCCCTATTGACAGCCATGACCTGCACATTTTGGAGTCTCTTCTTGAGTGCGGCATTCCAAAGTCTTCATTCTCGAAGCCATTCGTCTCGCGTCCAGAGAGCTCACTATCCACGTCGACACAAATGGGGAGTTGGTGAACGAACTTGTATGACCTTGTAGAACCATTCCTAGAAAACCCACAGAGCTTGTCCACCATTCTTCCGCACGTGCCGCTAGCCACCCACACGTTACAGTCGATGATCCATACTATATCTCCTTTTGCTTCCCGGTAACCTCTGCTCATGTTACGGATCTTTGGATTGGGTCCGATACAGGCAGTTGCGGCACTCTGGTCGAGTAATGCTGGATCCCCATCTTCGACCAAAATTCTTGCGTCGAAAGCGGGGAAATCGCACAGCAGGCGTTCGAGAATCGGGAAGGCCGGGTCACCTCTTGAGGCGATACAGAAATGTATCGTCAATTTCTGACTAGGATAGTCCTGATGAAAGGTTGCTGCAAGACATTCGTACAAGGAAGGTTCCAGGCCCTTGATAGGTCGGATGATTGTGACATGCGGAGCATCAGAGGGGAAACACGAGGACGATCTCGATTTCTCAGGTATGTTTGAGTAGTTGCACACTCTGTGACGTGATCAGCCCCTTTCGAATCAAGCGGAGAACCACGAGAATCACAGTTGAATGTAGCCAAGCATGCAGACAGCCACTACAGCTATGTACCATGCCAGGCAAGCTCCGGCAACCATGTCAGGCCACATGAGGTGAACATGGTCATTGAGTAGAGTGACAAGTATCCGAAGTTCTGGAGAGAGCCATGAGAGGTTGAGCCGAAGGATCGACAACCAACTTCAGAACTTTGATGTTCAGAAGCAAAGCTATCAATTCTCCTGCTTCTCCTAGCCTCCTAATCCCCCCCGCCCCCTTGTTTTCATGCCGAGCAGATACAGCTAGCCAAACACCAAGTGACATCTTAGACCAGAAGAGAGGAGACATGTTGACCTTCAGGTTCCTGTGCAGAAGGGTCTCTTCGAGGTAGCCAAGCAGCTAGTCAAGAGAATGCAACCGGAATCAGGACTCAGGACTCAGGAATCAGGGAAGGGAATCAATCATCACGGCATGCACGGATTGAGCCGTGCTTCACAACGTCCAGCTAACCGCAGATAGAAAACTTCACCGTCCTACCAGTACTACCAAGCACGGCTCTGTCGATATAATTACAACATACTACTCAAGGTGTCCCAGACACCGGCAATAACTACGCCGGCGAGAAGGAGAAGAAGAATAATCATGGTGATGATGATGACGATGAAGACGACGACGACGACGACGACAGCAGCGGCGAACTAACATCCTGCCGCTTGTGGAACTATCATCAAGGTTGCAATCGTCCAGCCCGTCCTGTACAAGACGCTGTGGCGCCGCATGGGCGGCAGTGGAGGTAAATTACTGTTTCAACTCAAAGCCAAACGCCTTTTGACTTTTCTTTTCGACGCATTGTTGAACACTGGATGGTCTACTATTGACTTCCGAGCAGAAGGGGATCTCACAGGAGTGTTTGCCTCCAGCATTGCTCTACGTTGATTCTTTGCCGTTCAAGGATTATAGTCGGATTTGGGAGTTTGTGACTTACGTTATAGTCGCACCAAGTTGATGGCCATTTAAGGTTTTCTGCAGGTCCTTAGACATCATGTAAGTACTTTGTCCACGAACTCGGAACCGAAGGTCCAGCTAACCGTCGACCCAAGGGCTGCTATCGTGAGATGCTGCATCTCATCGAGCGATCATCACATTTACTGACGGAATTTTGAGCTGATGAGATGCTGAATACGAGTTCATGCTGTTTCAGCTCCACCCCCGCACGTATCATAATGCTGTGATGGCGCGAAGGAGGCATCAGGGGCTGTTTGCATGGCAATATCCATCTCCCTCTCGTCTTCATGCTATAGTTAGTCGTTGATTAGTATAATACTCGTCATACTGTCAAACAATTCAGTAAAACATAGGTAATAGCCCATGGCGGTCATGTTCTCTAAAAGTCAATTTTCCTTTGAAAAAAAAGAAGAATCGGTGATTATATTAAGGTATAAACACTCTATTGTACAATAAAGATCCGACCTTTTCTAGTCCAACATGAGCGAACTTTTCAGATTCACCTTGACCCGTCCCTCGGAGTTGGTGCCAGACCACATAATTGTGGGACCGGCTCTGGAGGGTAAAACACTTGCGGAAATATACAAAGAGTTAGGAGACGGGAGCGACTGCGTCGACTTTAATCAGGTGAGGTCCGAATTAAAATTCGGCGATAAGATCGGTTTGCTTGATGAACTCCTGCCGTCTCAGTCACCTTCGGGAGATGTGGTGAAAGATTCCGTATCTACGGTGTTCGAAGGACAGGATCTGGAAGAAATACTCGGACAAACGTGGCGCATCGACGAAGACCACTTGGATACGGCTCTTATTCGTCTGTATTTATTGGGAAGGGATCGACATGGAGCTGGACCCAGTATTACTCGTTATCGGCAACTGTATGATCTGGTAAGGCAGGAATTACTGAGTAGGCAGTCAACTCATCCACAGCCGGTGTTTTGTTTAAAGCACCTACTATTCCCCTTTTCCATGCCAATAACTCCCCATTCCGCTGGCGAGCAAAAATTCCACCAGAAGTCGACTGGCCAGTCAGAGACCAGAGACCTGTTGGAAGACTATACCGAGATCCTAAACGTTTTGACTTCGGACCGACTGCATGCATATTTGAATATTGAAGACGATGAACGGCATCCTTTGCGTCTGAGACAATCCTGGACAAGGTCTCTGACTCCATCTGCCAAGGGAAGATTGTCCAAAGACTTTCCAAGAGAAGACATTTCTGATTTCCAAGCCTTGCACCAAACTGCTGTGAGATTCGCCTCCAAGGAAGAGAGGGTCTTGAGGGGCTCATCTCCGCAACGAACGGTTCATACCTTGGGATCGATCGGGCTTGGAACAACCGGGAAACGGGAACTTCCCTGGCGTGTTGGGAAAGCCGAGCAAAGAGATGTGCTTCCATGGGTCCCAAGACCAGTTCCCAGCTCAATCAGGCCTTCGGGCGTTGGGGATCTCCTGGTCGTCCGGACTCATATACTTCGCTATGAAGGGGGTGAGATAGTCAATATACAAAACGTAATAAAGAATGAGCGCTTTCTTCGGGAGATCAAGAATTTGGACCGAACCGGAACGGCAGAGATGACTCCCAAGACCAAGGAAACGGAAGAGGAGCGCGAGTCTTCCTCGACAGAAAGATATTCCTTGAACAACGAGGCCAGCAACGTCATCAAAGAAGACTCAGCGTTCAAAGCCGGACTGCCAGTCAGCAGAAAGTACGGGCCAATCACGGAGGTCAAGGCAGACACTTCGGTTTCCGAATCGGGCAGCTCGGACGAAGCGATGAAGGTCGCGACCCAGTTTGCAAAGAACATCACCTCGCGAGCCGCATCGAAAGTGGTTCAGAAAAGCTTTCGATCGCAAGTACAAGAATTGCAAGAGAATTTCTGTCATGAATTCGATAACACTGGAGATGACGCCTCGAACATCAGCGGTATCTATCAATGGGTCAACAAGGTGAACCAATCCCAGATATACAACTACGGCACGCGACTGCTGTTTGATATCGTTGTTCCTGAGCCTGCAGCTTTCCTCGTGGATGCTCTAGCCGCCTCCCGCGAGATAGCCGCAAAACCTCCGGAATTTACAGCGTCGGCCCTGGACATAAATGAAGCCAACTATAGCTCACTCGCCGCCGATTATTGGGCGAGCGGCCATGTCTTTCGCTATCGAGGCAAAGGAGTGTCCCGGTCCGACCACCTTCCAAAAGGATGTGGAAATCCCCCCTGGATACGTCGCTTATTCGGCAACAGCCAATTTGAACCTTGCTTTCAGCTTCGAAAGAGACATCGAAAACATTCCTGTGTCTATCTCGATAGGAGAGATGACGCCGGGCGAAATGAAATTTGTCATTAAGGGGGAAGAGACTATGTGGGTGCAGCAGACACACGCGGTCTTCTCCTTGCCGTTTCCAAAGGACACGGTAGGTATAGCCGTTTCGTTGTGGTCCTCTCTAGGGTTTTCAGGCGCGGTCCGCATTAACTGCATCCGAAGTGCAGACGGTTTCCGCCAGTGGCAACAAGAGACGTACGATAGTCTGCTCAAAGCCTATATAAAGCGTGTCACCACGTACGAGCGTGCCGTTGCCGAAGCAGCCGTTGCGTCTCCTGGCACCCTTCCGGGGTCCAAACCAGATGGAGCCAAGCGGCTCATCCGCAATGAGCTGAAGAAAGCCTGTATCGCCATGCTGACATCGCAGAACTTCACGGTCTTCGACGGCCTCCAGACCGATACGGCGCATGGCGTTGTTGAGATCAACTTACGCAAGGCCGTCGCACAGGGACGGTACATTCAATTCTTCGAACAGGCATTCGAGTGGGACCAGCTGCAGTACGTTCTGTATCCATACTACTGGGCTCGTAAGTCGACGTGGAAGGAACGGCTCCTCCAAACTTCGACTGATCCGGACTTCGCGGACTTTGTGCAGGCCGGTGCGGCCAGAGTGCAATTTGGAACGACGCTGAATTTCGGAAACGACGTCCTGTATTTCTTACAGACCGGCCATATATGGCAGGGCGGGCCGGTCCCAACTCTGGCTAACAAAGATTACCTCCCCTTCATCAACGAATTGGCCAGGGCCCAGGAACAGACTGGAATAGAAGTTGCTAAGGGCGAACCTTGGGAGACGAGCGTTCCAACAGGATTGGTCAGGCTAAGAGATGAAGACGCTCAGTGGACATGGGAAGTGAATGGACCAAAATGGGAGAAGGACCCCTTGAGTGGCTACTGGAAGGAAGTGCATTAGCTGCTTACCTTCATGTGAGGTGTGGTTTGATGATTGCTTTGGTATCATGGTTTGGCAGATTGATTGGTTGAGTCGAGTATGGAGAGGAGAGAAGTTGCAAAAGAGCAACGGAAGCTAGTAATTTAACGAAACGCCAAGCAGAATCCGGACGTGACATTTGGAGTGTGCGCACGTAGCAGGGTACTAATGTGAACCGCCGAATATTTAGACTCTGCCCATGGAGTCGTGAGTCAAAAGTCCGCAATAGGCTACGAGTACGGAGTAACTGCCAGGAGACACAGCTAGCTCTTCCCACACTAACTAGTGTGGTCTCAGTAGGTGGAGCAGATTATTTATAGCTTCTGTGTAAGCAGTTTGTTAGTACATCCTTGCGCAGGAGATTCTCGGACACCAGAGCTAACATCCGAATATGCCCGGGTCTCTGGTTTCTTTTCAGCATCGTTGGGAGCGACCCTCTCTTTCTGGACTGAAACTAGCGTCCCTGGGAAGCTCTCCACTCTGTGCCGAGGGTTGATAAGGGAATGGAATGCGTTTGACATCTTTTGCCCGCGAACGAGTTCTCCAAGCTACTGGAGGTGATACGAACATTTGTCTATATCATCTTCGCCCTCTTTAAGATTCATCACTCCAAGCTGATTTTGAAGCGCCATTACACAGCATTCTAGCTTTCTGTAAAAATCAGAATCCGGCCGTCTCGCTCACTTGGATTGCAAAGCCTGCAGGTATGCGTGCCAAGTTGGGTCGGCTCTCTTGAAATTCGACGTGACACTTTCACGAGCGCTTCTAGCGTTGAACCGAATCGTGATGGCCACTTGGGCTGATTGAAGGCGTTGATGTTGTGGCCTTGCCAGGTTGATTTCAAAGCGAGATCCCTATGGAAGAACTGTCACCTTTGAACCAGATTTCTTGGCCTCGAACTCATGAATGCTAAACACTTTGTGCAATTTTTATTGGGATCTTCAAAGCAGGAGCCATCATAAACGTCTCAGTATCCCCCAAAATTGGAACTCAGGCAGGTGCAATACGTGCACGGGCGTTGAGAACAGGCAGAATCTCCAGAATTTCCAGAAATGGAATGACACGAATTTGGGAATAGGTGTGCTTCGATTGGAGCGATCAGATGGATGTAGAACTGTTCCAAAAGTATCCCTCATGAGCCCCGCGAGCTCACATGGACTAGCCGAAAGCATCCTATTTGTATTGATCGCGGCTGTGGTGCCCGTTTCACGACGAGACAGCTGCACGAGCCAAAAGGGGAGTGCAGCGAAATCACCACGCAGGGCGAGCAACTCCATGTGGCGCTCAAGTCACGCCAGGAATATCTGACTACACGAGACCCCGCTCTTGGGTCAACATACAAAATCCTATGGGACTGTCATGCGAAGATTTAGCATTCCCGAAAGCTTCATAGAGAGTCGAGGAGGTATTTACGTTGGCTGGATGGTGGATGGATGGGAAAAAACGTTCATCTGTCATACTAGACCATTATGCTGGCTTGCAGGGTCTTCAAGGATAGACCCTGCCCCGGTTCGAAGGATCATGAGGATGGTATGAACTTCTGCTATCTGAAAGGGAGGGATATCCGTCCTCTATACATGGAGATATTTTGATCAGTGCTCGAGAACGGCCCTTCCAGTTGAGGCCCAAGCTTTCTGTGTTATATAGGCCTCGGAGGGACATAAAGAATATATTCAAAGCCCTTGAGCAGCACAGGCTGTGCTTGATCCCTCCGCTATCAAGACGTTAAACATGCACGTTCAACCTCCACAGATACCCATCTTCAAGCACCCGCAGCAGTATATTCCATCCCATCTAATCCCTCAACCAAGCTCTCCTCCTCTCCTCCTTTTTCTCTCTTCTCTTATCCTTGAAAGCCTTCAACTCCTTCTTGGTCAACTTCTTACCACTCCGCTCTGCCTTCAGACTCTTCCCGTCATGACTGTTCGCCGCGGCATCGACATCAAAGTACGCGTTCATCTGCCTCTTGGATTTGTTGTCATCGTTGAAGTTTTCCGGTTGAAGGGTAGCGGACTGCCATTTCCCGGTAAAACGGTTAAAGGTGCCGGTTGCAGCGTAGGGGTCTGAGGGGTTAAGGGCGGTTGTGCCGGGGGGTGCGAGGTCAGCGGTGTGGATGTGGTTGGAGTTGGGGTCGGCGGGTTCGGGCCGGGGTTGGGCGTAGTCGGCGGTTGGGTCGTAATCGCCATGGATGGCGGGATCGTAGCCTCCAGCGGCTGGTTTTGAGGTTGTTGGGGGAGGGGAATCGGTGGCAATGGTTGCGGGAGGGAGTGCTATTCTATCGTAGTTGCCTACGCCGGGAGGCGCGGGTTCAGCGACCGCAGGCAGACGAGGATTCTCCCATTGAGAGATCTTGGTGAAGCGGTTATAGAAGTAGAAGGTCTGGGCCGCATCGTCCCAGACTGGATCCCAGCCATCATCTTGGAGCTGTGCAGGTGGCACCTCTTGCGGTAGAGGGGGTGGTTCTTCAGCCGGCAGTGGCGGTTCTGAATGGGCCTCAGCGTCCCCGGTCAATGACTTCTGACGCGACGTAGTATCACTGCCTTCGTGTGAAGCATGAGGGGAATCTCTGGTGGCCGGAGCTGTATTGCGCTCCGAGTCCTGCGCCTCCGGTGATGATTCCGTACTACAAGCCGACATAACGATTAGTACAAAGCATAGTGGCAAGCAGCAACGGGAAGTGTCGACACTACATCATCACGAATCGTTGGAACGATGGTTTTGGTTGGTTTCTGTCGTGTAACCATTTGTTGTCTGCGGTCTAATAAGGTCGCTGATCATGTTCATGTAGACGAAAGTCGAGGGTAAGGCTTACTAGTACTACTAGTTAGTAGTAGTACCAGGTATACCAGGCCAAGCATCGCTAGGCTTCAATTAGAATACCATGAAATCATTACAGAGCATTACCTCGATTAATACCAGGGATGGGAGAACTCTGGAGTCTCACGCCGACAACCAGAGAAGAGCACCTCGATCCCTTACATCGACCAATTGAATGAACAAGTACACTTGCCTTGACACCTTCCGTTACTTCAAGATATGTGACTGCCTGCAACAGAGCGACTCATTCCGCAACAAGGAAACAGCTTATCGAGAGAGAAACCACACAGCGAAATTGGGAGTGTCTTCCTTTCCTCATTTGCTACCCTAATAATGATGACATGATGCCTTACTTTGAACTTGTTGTTGTTAGAATCCCTGCGTATATGATACGTATCTGTTACGTACTAGCATGATGGTACAAGGGTCCCCGCATGCAAAACGCATGAAACGCTCTTGTAACTGTTACGCCCTGTTATTTATGGCAGTGAGCATTGCTATACGAATTGAACGCCAAATGCTGTTTCTGAGCTGTTACAGTAATGCGCTTCTATAGCTATTAGTATGAGCAAATACTCCTCTTGATAGGAGTAACTCAATCAAGTGAATTGGCACCTCCGTACGCTGTTTGCTACCATCCTCTAACAGTTGTAGCAATAGCACCACCAAATAGTTGCGCAAGTATAGGCGTGCCGCGTTTCCATAGCTCTTCTTGACAGTAATAGGCCATTTCCCTCGACACAGATGGTCCCATTCTCAAGTATCGATCGTGAACACTAACAAAAGTTGCTGAAAGTTTTGATCAAAAACATAGCTATAGCAGCTGTAAAAGATCATAGCCCCGGCAAGGTATCTCGCGTCTGCGTTCGAGACAAGATGGATACTGGCAGAGCAAATTATGGTGCATAGACAATGACTCCCGGTGCGAACCTAAAAGATTATAACCGACTCCTGCAAATGAGCCAGTGACCCTGTAGAGAACCGACTTTCTATTCATATAGCGAGATGCTCACCGGAAACAGGAGGTGCGAGGGGTGGACTGTGCTGGTGTTGGAAACGCTGCCTCCACCTTTGGGTATGATGAGCAAGAGGTTGAATGTTCCTGCATGAACTGCGCTTCGATAGCTTGATTCGAACAAGCGCCTGGGCCATGAGCACAACGGAAACCGTCCACGAGATGCGAGCCTGAGTGCTCAATCGAAACCAAGACCTCTCGAGTCTCTCTTATGCGACCATCGCCCATCCTCACCGGCTGCATGTAGTCGTCAAGGCCGCCGGAGTTCCGTGAAGGCGGTACTTCAGTTGACTCGACCTTCCCTGCTCTTCGACCCTGGAATGTGTCTAAATTTTTAGAGTCTCTGCGGCTGTTGGATGTTATCGTTGTCGTTGATGGGACTTGACTGCATGTACACGTTTGGTGGCCAAAGCGTAGGGTACCGTTCCTTTTGGGTGCCCCAGATGGCTCGTGCACCTCGGTCGCGGCGGATTTCGGTGATAATAATGATCTTTTGGAATTTCCATTTCGTTCGAGATCAATCAAAGTATTCGTCTCAATCTCGGAGTTCTTTCCCAGAGTACCGTTGGCGGTGGTGGCCCTGCGACCCCGCGTGGCAAAAGAAGTCATTGCAAAGGAGCTCGGTCCCTTCCTGTCGCCGGTATCGTGTCCTGAACCTCCCCCATAAGTTTTGCCAATGACGCCGCGCATACTTGAGTCAATGAAGCCGGATTCGAGTGATGCCAGGAAAGGGCGCAAACAGGGTATGCAGGCAGTAATGAGTGAAAGACATTGGACGACTTGTCTCCATATCTGGGGCGTGACGGCTTCCCAGCTGCGATCCGATGACTTGATGAATTCTGGAATTGACGCTAGAAGGAGGGCAGAGCACGTACACACTGCAAGACGACTGCCGAAGACACCAATAACAGTGAACCGTTGAGCGCGAGAAATCTGAACGTTCCACACAATGATTGTGGGCGTAACAATGATGACTATGTCGGACAAAATATCGACAGCTCCAATCGAGTAGTATAATCCTGCAATGTTCACCTCGCAAGTGGCCAGGTGAAGTTGCATCGAGTCCCAAGGCTGAGGGAGGGAGCATTGAAAGGCTAGCGAAAAAACAGAAGCAAGCATCCACATTGTGAGTATTGTGATGAAGCCGTAGCAGAAGTAGAGGATATTGTGGGATGGTGTAAGTCGCATAATGAAGACAACCAGTGAGACTTTGGCGAGATAGATCGTGACTAGGAAGAGCAGGTCGGAAGCATAATAAGCCTTAGCGAATATCTCATAAGAGTCGTAAGAGAGCGTGTGAATATGCCGTCCTAGCCCATTTGATGCCGAAACATGTATCGCTGCGGTCTGAGCAATACCAATTACCTGAGCGATCAGGTCAGCGTTGCTCAATCCATACAGCCGTCGTCCCGATTTCACCCTCCTACCATTGCAATTGCTATGATTATGTCGTCCGAACCATACACGCGAACAGGTATGAACCTAGTCATTAATCGAGTGAGAACGGATAATGAGAAGAAGCACATCATTATCCAGCCGGCAATGACGACATAGCCTCCATGGTCACTCTCCGTGATAGCGCCGTGTGGAGGCGAGAGATCGTAAATCGAAGGAGGATGGGATTCAGACAAGATAGGCGACGACATCTCTGACATTCAGTCGACATAGCAGCTCCTAAAGGAAACAGAGATCTCCAAGCGCGGGACGATAGGTCTTGTAGATGAGACCTCGGAGAGCTCAAGGGGATCTTCGTAGCCAGGTCGCTCAAACGCAAGGATTAAACAGTACTCAACTTTCATGCGACACAAGAGCTTTGTATCCTCAGATAACTCGTTCCACGCTGTGGAACCACATCATGACAGCTTTTGCCGCCGCTTCCTGGAGCGGATCATTTTCTGGAGACATTGAAGCAGGGACAATCCTCTGCACAGGAGATGAGTATCCAACCCTGTGGACGGTTTTCCTATTTCAGAAGCGTTCTGTATTTTCTCTCGACCAGGCGATCCGCTTTGCATGCTACGAGTATCGGTTTTCTGTTCCTCGCTTGCTGACATTGATGGGCGTAGTGACAAGATCGATTTGGGTATGGTGGCATGCACGTCATCCCTTGCTGAGCGCATAGGGGAGGTTTATGAGATTTGTTTTACTTAGCAGTGGACTTTTCTTCCCCTTACTCCATCACAATTCCATTGAAAGGTTCATTCCAATCGAGTACATTCCCACTTCTTGTGGTAAGACAAGAAGGACTGCTAGATTACAATAGTGTTACCTAAACGACATGATCGAGTACGAAGCTGTAGCTCACACCATTGAGATCTCTGTTTGTTTGCCACTGCAGCCCAACTTCTGTCATTTGAGAGAATCCTCCAGCATTCAACGTTTATATGATTTGCATAAGTACCCTGTCATTGAGCAATGCAAATTTGTTTTAGAGTGATTTGATAACCCCAGGCCAGGTACAGCAGCTGGACAGCATCATCCTCTGCAATGATTGCTCCGCAATCATGCAGTGAATCCATCCCCCTTGCTGCCGAGGGTTGCCGATTCGCAAACATCTTATCTTCTAAACAGAAAAGAACACCAGTAATACGTCTCCTCAATCTGATGCAGCAACCCAATAGGCAACGCAACTGACATGCAGAGTGCCGAGGTGGGCCTTGAATTGTGCCACCATGGCGTCTTCTTTGGTCCTTGTGGCAGTTGAATCTGTCGTCCGACCTTGCATCCAAGCGTTGAAGCTCTTTGTGCACCGCTCATGGCTACCTGGAAAAGCGAGGAGACGTAATACGCCGTCCTTCCATTGTGAAGTCGAGGAGTCCCTGTCCGTCTCAGGAGACGCGCTCTCCACTATCAGTCGCAAGTCTGCTTCTCGGGCTGTGGCTTGTACATTAGCAGATAGTCCTTTACGATACCTTCTTCTGCTCTCTCCCACATCGTTCTGCTATCAATCTTGACGTTGTTGTCATCAAACAGTCTTGAATTTGACACTCTTTCTTATCTTCTCCCAATCGAGCGTTGGCATGGTTCTCATTGAGCACGACTGGAGGTATGCCTCAGGGAAATCTTCTGAAGATGATACCCCTTGGCAACGAAGAAGCCATCCATCTTCTCGGCGAGATGATGCAGTCCTGGAGAGACTGGGAAAACGACCCCAACTCAAGGTACCATTGCCAACGTCTTTCACATATTTGGTGGGAATTTTCATCTTACTCTCAGATAGAGAAACTTTGGTTTCGTGTCGATTGTTTCATTCTCGACTACGCTGATGGCTACTTGGGAACCTCTTGCAGCGTACGGCAAACCGCAAGTGGCCCTACTCTGCTGACTCTCCGCTAGTCTCTTACAAGGCGGCCTCAATAATGGAGGACCGGTGTCGTTAATTTATGGTTTCGTTCTCTGCTTCTGTGGCACCCTTGCAACGGCGGCGTCCTTGGGGGAACTCGCTTCTATGTGAGTTCGGAGTTTGGCCTTCTCAACTCGGCATCTGACAGGTGCAGGGCACCGACCTCTGGAGGCCAGTATCACTGGGTCTCATTGCTGGCCACTGGAAAATGGTCGGTCAGAGTAAGTTGGATAACAGGGTGGGTTTCTGTTCTTGGTTGGATCGCCGCGACTGCGACACCAGCTTTTCTTGGTGCAACATTGCTACAGGGTCTTTTTGTCCTCAACGACAGTTCATACGTCTATCAGCAATTCCATGGCACGTTGTTATATTTTGCTGTTATCCTTCTTGCAATATTGGTCAACGTCTTCCTCATCAGGTTCCTGCCATATCTGGAGACGCTGATCCTGATTCTGCATATTGGTCTTTTCTTTGCGCTTCTGGTGCCGTTGGTCTATCTTGCGCCGCAACATTCGGCAGTTTTTGTATTCACGGACTTTGAGAGTCGCGTGGGATGGAACTCTAGGGGTATAGCTTGGTGTGTGGGCCTTCTGACAACAGCCTTTCCCTTCACCGGATATGACGGTGCGTGTCACATGAGTGAGGAAATTGAGCACGCTGAAAAAGTTGTTCCCCGTGCTCTGGTTACCTCCGTTGTTCTGAACGGTTTACTGGGATTCGGATTCGTCATTGCACTTCTATTCAGCATGGGTGATCTGGAAAACGTGCTGGCTTCACCGACTGGATACCCGCTCATCGCTATCTTCCATGAAGCCACGCAATCGACACGAGCCACCAACGCTGCCATCTGCGGGATTGTTGCATCAGCCATTGCCTCGGTACTAGGACTGATGGCATCAGCGTCTCGCACAACTTGGGCCTTCAGCCGCGACAGAGGTCTGCCGTTCAGCAAACAGCTTAGCCACGTTAACAAGCGCCGAGCCATTCCCCTCAACTCGATACTCGCAACAACGTCCTCTCTGCTCCTCCTTGGTTTGATCAACCTCTGGAACACCAACGCATTTCTTGCCATTGCCGGCGTTGCAACGGTGGCTCTGTATTTCACTTACCTCATGCCCATTGCCCTTCTTCTGATGAGGAGGTTCAGGGGCGACGAGATCAAGTTTGGTCCATGGAAGCTCGGCAGATGGGGTCTGGCGATCAACCTCTTCAGCGTTCTTTACACAATCTTTACCTCCATCTTCATGTTCTTCCCAGCAGTCATACCTGTCACCCCGGGCAATTTCAACTGGACTAGTGTAGTTTTCATTGGGACTTTGGCTATAAGTGGCGTCTCCTGGCTTGTATTTGGCATGAAGTCTTTCACCGGGCCAGTCAGAGAAACAGTGAGTTAGAAAGTCCCGATCGCTTTCGCGGGACGAATAGCCTGCCTTCCATTGGAATGGTAATAGTAGAGAAACATTTGTTATTGTGATATCAGATGAAAGTGTGTTTGTGGACCTGTGTCACCATCATGAAAGTGAGCTAGTCTCTTGGGAGCGGAGATTTTTCAGTGTCCTTCCCACAAGGGGCCCTTCGGATTTCCTCACTACTGCAATTTTCCATTGTCCCGGTAAGATAGGCGTGCAAAGCGTGGCCGTATGCAGAATCCATGCTTCTGGCTGTCAATCAAGGCGATCGCTCCCAATCTACTACGTAGTAGGTGATACAGATCTCGCATTGCATTGCTTTTTGTAGATCGAGCAACCGCCCTGTCGGCATACTTCCTTGAAAAGGCTGGTCCGCCAAAACCACAAAAATTTCCCTGTCACGGTTGTCTGGATTCAAGAACGTTATTACGTTATTACGGAATGGAAGATGGCATAATCGCTTCTTGCACCCGCAGCAGCCGCTGGCAGTCCTACCTGACCTCCTGAAGGTTCATATGGTACCAGCTTCGAGCAACGAAAAAGTTGGTGCAAGGCATTAGCTGATTAGCTGACAATGGGTACTCGCAAATCGCTCGCCCTGTGCTCGTACTCTAGTTTCGTTCTCCAAATCTTGACCAGTGACTGTCTTTGTTGGCAGGTGGGCGGCAATCATGCGGATTCCAGAAGCCAGCAGGGACTGGGACTGGGACTGGGACTGGAGCCTTGGTTCTAGCGATCTCAACCCTTGCTGTTGATCTTCCATCCTCAACCGACCGGCAGGAGTTCACTCGGATTTTTTCGTTCTGATCACTGGTCGATTGAATTCGACATCCATAGGGCTCAGATGAGCAAAACTCGGCTGACGCTGCATAACAATCGTGAGTACCACATTCACTATGCCCCAAGCCGTCCTTCTTGGTACCAGTCATCCAGGGTTGCCGGATGTCTGCTCCATTAGCCCTTCACGTGGGCATCGCATTCCACGCGAGCTCCATTTTCATCCCTTGAATACTTGTGGTAGACACCAGTCGGGTTTTTTCCTGCCATGCCGAGTGTTTAGCCGACTGCTATTTCGCCACAACATTCACTTGATGTATGCTGGCTGTCGTACCTTGACTCAACCCTCTTGCTCCCATAACAATTTCACTCACCTCTTTTACAATCTTCATGGAGACTGCTGGAACGTCTGAGTCTCAGATGCCTGAGCATAACACAACAACCGCGATCAAGGAGCTTGATGACGGAGGTCAGTCCACATCCCTTATAGTCTTCGTCTCTACTCCTCCAAATCTTTGTCTAATTTTGGCCTTATCAAGTCATTTTCAACAATGCCCCTCCAAGAACTCTCCATACCAGAGATATTGTCGCTGCTGGCTTCAATATTTGCAATAGCTGGGGAGGTGTTGCAGCCACACTCTTTCTTGGGATCATTGCTGGTGGACCAGTCACTATCATCTACGGAATAATTGTATCAACTGTCATGGTAGGCTGCTGCGTCCTGTCTATGGCAGAGCTGGCTGCAAGGTATGCAACAGCAGGAGGTCAATACCACTGGACATGGCTTTTGGCACCAGAGAAGGCGAAGCGGGGAATGGTGGGTGTGCGATTTGGTCTTGTCATTTCAATGGTTCCGTTGACTGAAAGGGAACTTCAGAGCTATACCGTTGGCATCATCAACATATTTGCGTGGATGGCCACTTCGGCCGCTGTTTGCGCCATCCTTCCATCCATTATTCTTGGCCTGGTAAGCTATTGGAACCCTGCATACATGTCGCAAAGATGGCAAGCGTTCCTCATCTATCAAGCCTCGAATATCGCTGTCCTCATCTACAACATCGGCATTCTTCGTCGTGCAGGCTGGACACATGACATTGGCATGGCGCTGTCGCTTCTCATGATGCTCACTTACTTTATCACTTGTCTGGCTCGGGCCTCTCCTAAGCTTTCATCGTCCTTCGTCTGGACTGTATTCGTCAATGAGGCTACCGGGTGGAGTAACGGTATCGTCTTCCTCACAGGACTTGTCAACCCCAACTTCGGCTTTGTGGGCATAGACGGTGCGATTCATTTGGCGGAAGATGCAAAAAATGCTGCCACTGCCGTGCCATGGGCATTGGTAGCAACTTTGGTAATTGGTTTCATTACCGTGTTTCCGTTCGTCGTTGCTATGTTCTATTGCATCTCAGATGCCAAGTCAGTGCTCGCTTCACCTGTTCCTATCTTCGAAATCTGGCGTCAGGCCGTTCGTTCTGATAGTGGAGCAACAACCATGACCGCTCTTTTTGTTCTTACAGGGTACTTCTCATTGAATGCCTCCCAGCAGACAGCCTCACGCTTGACTTGGTCATTTGCGCGAGATCGTGGGCTGGTCTTCTCTGGCGCCATCGGAGCCATACATCCGGCTCTTGGAGTTCCAGTCTGGGCACTTATCGCAAACGCTTTTGTTGTCTTCATCATGGGTTGCGTCCACCTTGGCTCGACATCTGCATTCAATGCCATAGTCGCCACGGCAGTCATCCTCATGCATGTCACATTCGCAATCACCGCAGGACTCAAGATGTTACGGCGCCGGGCCCAGCACTTCCTCCCGGAGAAGAAGTCAGGATGGTCGTGGAACTTTGGCAAAGCAGGGTGGTTATTTGATTCCGTCACCGTAGTGTGGGGTTTCATTACCTTGATCTTCTATTGCTTCCCAACCTCCAATCCAACCACAGGCAGCAGTGCGAACTACGCAGCAGCTGTGCTTGCTGTTATGACACTCTTTGCTGTCATCAACTGGTTTTCCTATGCGAAAAAGCATTATGACGGGCCACGAGTCAATCTGGAGAGATTTGGGGATACCAAGGGGCCGCAATAGGATTCGCATTGGGTTGGTCGTTGCTATATCAGGTCTGCGGCGGGCGGGCTAGATGTAAGGGAAGGTCGTACATAGGCTTGGGATTGGAACACTCTGAGCAAGCAAGCATTGGAGGAACCGTGACTGAGCTTCTATGGGTGGCAGATACGTTCTTGAACAGATACAATACAAGCTAATGTTGAGCTTTATGTCCTTCATGTCGATCATGTGCTGTCTCGTGGCAGCATGTGATCCTTGGAGCCGTAGATTGTAGTTCTCGAGCAGCATATGCTGCCATGGGCCAGTCCCTGATCGACATGAAGGACAAAAAATGAGCGAACCTGTAGACCGGGTCCGGGAGGAGTTTTCAGACATAGCGTGCTTCGGCTTATACGCTCCTCCATATGGTGGATTCTTCACTTCAATTCCAGTTGTGGTTTACGAGTCGTCTTTATGCCAGCGTTGATACAGCGGATCATTGATCGCATAGCCATGGCCTCGACCAGGTGCCAGCTGACAGCTTGGAAGAGTGGTCTCCTCTGTGTCACATGGGTGTTCATCATCAGAAAGTCACCACATGATTACATAAAAAGAAAAGAAGTTGACTACTCTCCTGTTGCCATCCCCATACCGCAACGGTATTGGCAACCGGTGAAGAGATCGCTATCAGCTATTCCCGTAAGCTTCATCTTCCTCCTGTCCCTCTGTAATATGTGTCCCATGCCCAGTCGAAGCTTTATCGCTTTGCAGGATGTTGAGAGGCTGAGTTCACCGGTGAATCCCTTTCCAATGCTACCAAAGATGATGCCAGATAGATAGCTGGTTGGCGGCCAGTTGTGGCGGCCCTTTTGCTCCAGCCACTGCAGTATAACCGATATTCAACCTCGAACACGCCAAGAACCCAATCTACGTAGTAGCCATTCCGGAAACACGCGACGCGAGCGCGTTCCACTCCTTCTCCAATTCTCAGAATAGACCCTTGAAAAGCATCTCATGCAACTCTGCCTGCACTGCCTACAGACCCAGATCAAATCGTTAAGTTATTGCGTGCTTCGCCTGTCAAAGTAATCGTATATTATTGCTTGTGTTCCTGTCAATTGTCCTCTTATACTGAATTATCTTCTCTGCTATCCCAACATTCTGGCGACCACGGAGCCCTACGCATCTCACAATGTCAGAGAAATCTGTTACGCATACGCCGGTATCAAAGAAACGGTCTCACGATGAGGCTGAAGGTCTCGTGCCCTTCCATACTAGAACTCAAAGCCCAGAAGAGACGCAGTTGCCAACCCCAACCAGCCCTGCTGCGTCCCAACTTTCGCCTCGACCAGGCAGGCAATTGTCACCAGCCATCAGTGTCGAAAGTTCAGCGCTAAGTGATGCAAAGACCATGACACTGTCGGCAGCTCAAGCTACTCCTCCGCCTGTGACGAGTTCTGGAGCAGCAAAGAAGCAGAAGTTAACATTTGCCGAAAAAGAACTGGAGAGGGTCAAGAAGCAGTCCGAGAAGGAAGAAAAGGAGAAGAAGAAGGCAGATGAACTCCAAAGGAAGGAGCAGGAGAAACTGCTAAGAGACCAAGAAAAGCGGCGGAAGGAAGAAGAGAAAGAGGTTATGAGAAAGAAGCGGGAAGTCGAAAAGGCTGAGAAACAGAAAGCTAGAGACGAAGAGAAACAAGCAAAAGAGGAAGCAAAAAGAAAGAAAGAGGAGGAAAAGAAGAAAAAGGAGCGGTCTCAGCTACGACTGGGCTGCTTCTTCCAGAAGCCGGTAGCAGGCGAAGTGACGGAAGAATCTTCTCATGCCTCCAGCCGAAGATCTTCGGTCATCAGTCTCGGTGGTCTCGATGATCATGACAACGAGGTACCAGCAAAAGGTTCTCCCCAGAAGCGAGTGGATGCAAAACACGGATTTCTGCCATTCTTTGTCCCACAGAATGTCAAACTGGCGCCTGCAAATCGATTTGCTCGAGACGGAAACCTATCACACATGGCGATCAGCCGGCTTGATACATGGATGGTGCAGGGGAACAGTATTCATGCTGAAGATCTCACATCTAAGTTTAAGTCTAGGAAGCGGAAGCGTTGTCAGATGCCACCGTGCACCATGAAGGAAATTGTAGAAAGCATTCAAGGCACTTCCACATCACCAATCGACCTTACGGGCGAGCCCGCATTTCCTCAATTGTCGCGTGTCGCATACAAGATCCTATCCTTTAGAGAAGACGTTCGTCCCCCATACGAAGGGACTTATACCCGAGCTGTCTCACCAACATCAGCTGTGAAGCTTTCCCGTCGCCCATTTAGTAGACAGCTTCCCAACACAAATTACGACTACGACTCTGAGGCTGAATGGGAACCACCTAATGAAGACGACGAGGACCTTGGATCGGGTGACGATGAATCTGACATAGGCGAGGATGGAGAGGAAGACATGGACGGCTTTCTAGATGACGAGGACGACCTGGGGAGGAGGAGACAGGTCATGGGAGAGATGATACCAGTAAATTCTGGACTATGCTGGACCAACACGACTAATGAGGGCGGTCCCCTCGAGGAATACCGCATACAGATGTTATCTGACCATCATCTCTTTCCCATCGACCCCTACTCGACTGCCTACTGGCCCAGAGCACACCAGGTGTCCAGGCAGCCAGCCATGCAACCTCCGCGGCTGCCGTTGTCGAGTCTCAATCCAAACAGCAGTCCAGCGATAACATCTCCTTGGAAAGCTGAGGAGGAAGAAAAGTCCGACGAAAGGTGCCAAAACTCCACTGGTCTCACACAAGCAACAGAGACAAAGGCAGGAAAGCCCCTGAAGCTAGCCCCTGACGAAGTACTGCCGGATTTCAAGCAAGCTGTCCGGGGGAGCGATCTGACAAAAGTGGGGTTGATTGAGATCTTGAAGAAACAGTGCGTTATTTCGCGGGATATGCGAGTCTGCGTAATTGCTAATATATTAAAACAGGTTTCCGAAATTGTCCAAGGACACGATCAAGGATACTCTGGGTCATGTAGCGAGCAGGGAGGGTGCACATACGGACAAGAAATGGGTGCTGAAAGACTGAATGCCGGTCGGAAGGGTGGAAGGGTGGGAGGGGCTAGACGGTAAGGAATGAGACGTCCTAGACGCAGCTCCACCCACGCTGCCGGACTTGTGAAATCCGCCCAGTTTGGCTGCATGAAGCTCAGTCCCTCTGTCACCGTATGCAGCAACGCAGCGACCATCACTGCTCTCCTGGGGACGAATGACATGAGATCACACACAGAATCTGCCGCGCATGTCCCACAACCATTCCAGCATGGATCAATGATTCAAAAGGAAAGGCGGCTAACTCGTCTGCGAGCGGGTAGATCGTGGAGAGCATGTACTACATAGAAAGCTGTGTCAGCAAAGTAATCCATCACACCATTGCATCAACCTGGATAGATGGATAGACAGACAGACAGACAGACACGGTGCGGCCTGTGCTCTCCTCAACCCTGTTGTTGGGCTGCAATTTCGTGGTATTATATCAGCTCCTGATGGAGTCTAGTGAGAGTCACTTCTCCTCAAGTTGGTCATGCATGTTAAGTAAAGCAATATGCGCCCTTGGCAGTCCTCCAGTCCGAACGCTTTGTGAACTCTTGCTGAGTCTTTGCTGAACCGATAACAACTTGGAATTGAAAGGGGTGACAACTTTGCGATCATTGTGGCCAATTCTCCTGGCTCCATATATATTTGCGCGGCATCGTCCATGCCCTACACAGCCGACGTTGAGAGTTCCGTCGTACTCATCTCCACTCTCTGCTCCAAGTCTTGAAGGTCCGAGTTTCACTCTAACAAATGTCAGCATACCGCAACTCTGGCCTCGAACCATTACTTACTCTGTGCCAAATGAAAATCCATTTCTCGCTACGCAAATCTTGATCTTTGACCTTTTGCAACCGCTCGGAATGTTTTCAATGGCAAGATCAGGGAAGATGGTCTTCCGGGGAGGAAACGGCGCAACGAATAGGGATAGCACATCGCCGGGTTCCTTCTTTTGTGGAAGTTCAAATCGTGAAAACTGCTTGACCGCTTCCACAATTCTTATTGGTGAAGAAGCTCTCTGAAAGATGTAATGACAGCGCCCCACATCATCCAGTATACACGCCCCTGCTTCTAGCTCGGGAAACGCATGAGACCGATGGTCTCTAAAATCCCATATAATTTCTAACGATCGCATTCTGTGCCATGGGAGCAGACACCCCTTGGAGGTCGGATCCCTCAATTAAGCATCGATACCTTGCTGCAATGCGCTCGATGGACCCGATTTTCTTTTCTTCAACAACGTTCCCAAAATCCTCGGGAGATTCACTCCCAGAGGTGAGGAATACGGTTTGCCCATACAATATATGTTGTGTTTTGGTGTAGGTTGAGTGGTTCGCACAAGGTACTTGAGAGGTAGGTGAGATCTCACCGTGGCCATCTTCCTCATTCGAATCGGTGTTTGACCAGCATGGCTCGAGTTTCACAATAGAAAATGGGACTCCTTCGAAGGTCCTTTCCAGTGAATGTATGCCGCGAGCGACTACCCTGGCGGTTGCTAGCGGAACGATAGAAGTCCCCAGACTTGGAATTGACAATTATGGCAACAAAGACAAAGCGTAGTGGATCCTCACAGCTAGAATCGGCGCCTCGCATCTGGAGGTCGTAAAAAGATGGACTACTCTGACAAAATTGCAGACCTCCGAGTGGCCATGGCCCTGCAAGCAACGCGCTTGATTCGGGATAGGCCAATAGGCGCCAGGAATGGGAGCATGCCTCAAAGACCTCGAGCGTGTTGTTGAGCGTGTTCTTCTTCCTCGTAACCTGAAGAAGATGATCTGTAGAAGGAACTCATGCCCGTTCCGGCTCAAAGAATCAATATGTCCTCAGCGAATTGTCTCTTACCACGCCTCTCTCTGCTCATAAATATCATCACATTGAGGCCCGCGATTCAATAAGGATCTTCAGGAAGCTAGCTATACATGGCACCGTCTTGTAGGAGATATCTCTTGAATACCTTTTTGATATCCCATGCACCCAAGGGAGACACCTAATAACGTGAAATCAGCGCCTTATTCAATTTGAGGAGCCTACCTGTTTGGGGTCAATGGCTGCATAGGCCTGCTAATTGATGAAGTTCCATGAAACCGAGAAGAGCCAAAATTGATGGTGAATGTAGAAGGGAGTTGAATAATTAACGGAAAGCGATGTGGTGAGAGATAGAGAAACTCTCAGGGTAGTATATTACTGCATCATTAGTCTCACTCAAAAGAATGGCAGAGTCATAATGGAAGATAATTTTGCGATCAGGGCGTTGGCTTTCTCTAAAAAGTAATTCAATGTTCTTGTGGTGTTTGAGGCTTCAAGATAGGACCTCGAGGCCATCGGGGAACCTGAGTAAGTCAAGGCCCAGAAAGGAAAATTGGTTGGAGCTGATGCAGGAGATGAAGACAAAGATGAAGTTTCAAACTTCGAAGAGGGACGTGTTTATCGCTTGCAGAGGCTTCATCGGACACCATTGATACCACGAGATGGAAGATCCGGCATCTGACGCGGCTTTTCATCCTCATCTTCGTCCATGGCGTCCACGTCTACAGGGTGTCTGTGAGCTAGGTCAGTGGGAGCCTCCCATCATGGATTATATCAAGGCTTACCCAAGAAGGCCTTTGATATCTCTCATCTCGTAGTGCTTCTTCCTGTGCTCTTCAAATTTCTTGTGCTTCTCCAACTCCTCTCTAGTCGGCATACCCACTGCTGTCTCCTCCTCAGCAGCGACCTCGACATGCTTTTCGCGACTGCCGGTGCTCCCTTCCCTCGATTGACTTCCACCTCGGACGATGCGAGAATTCTCGTCCTCGGCTTGAGTGTTACCAAGCTCCTCCGGGTCGCCGAGCTCAAGACCAGGAATATCGCTTTCGCGACCCCCCTCCTTAGATTTCTTCTGCTTGTCAAGCTCATCAACGTCCACATATCTAGGGTCGATCGCAACGTCTTCTTCCTCGTCTTCATCCGGTAAATCCCTTGCATATTCGTACGGGGTCTTCGGCTCTGTAATCTTCATGGTTGAGGTCTTCTGCTGCTCAGCCAGGTAGAGATTTGCCTCATCCCATTTGAGGCGCATGCTCTCGCCCTCTTCGCTTGTTCCTGGGAGACTGTTGGGATGTGAGTGCCTTCTTGTGGCAGAAGCGCGGCGGGCTGCTGAACTGGAGCGTCGATGACCGGCATTTTGGAGGGTGTTCTGCAGAGTAAGCTCTTTCTGATCCTCGGTCGCCTCTGTCACAGTTGGGATAGTAGATAGATCGACAGAGACGTCTCTGATAGGCGAGGCTGGAGTTTCGTTGGAGCAGGAGAAAGAAGGATTTTTGAGGATGCCTAAGTGCAAGTCAGTGTAACCAGATCGTGAAGAGGATTGTTGAAGGAAGTGCAAAGGATGCCGTGAACGACTTTCGTCGCAAAAAAGGCCTACCTTTGGGACGCTTATTTAAATCACCTGGTTGATGTAAAACTGGTGGAGGGTCTTCCGAAGTGGTTGGCATTTTGCGAGGTTTGATATTCCGGGAGAGAGATGATGAAATGACAGACACGTGACAGTGGTAGCTGGCTGTAAGAGCCTCGATCTGGGCCTGGTAGTGGTGACAGAGCGTTTTTGAACTGCAGCAAGGATAGGGGAATCTGCCTGGAGAGAATGAAGATGGAAAGCAGAAGTGTAGTTGGATAAAGATCCAACGACGAGTGGGTCTTATGGGCTGATGCGCGGGTGTTGATCACAAGCACAAACCGTGGAGCCTACCATAGGAGTAGTACGTAGTGGGTCACTAGTAAGTGGGGAGGTTGGCGGGGCGGGATGACACATGCGGAACCCTACGGCCTGAGGTAAGCGTACCGAACGGGGAAGAGAGGCGGCCAAGTGGCGGCCAAGTGGCGGCCAACTGACGCCTAACTGACGCCTTTACCCGTTGTGTCCCACTACCAGTCACTTGAGCTACCGAACCAGCAAAACTGCTACTGCACGGGCCCGTTGCCGCAATCCAATCCAGTCGCAATCACGGGCGTCATTTCCCCTAACTTGATACTAGCCGCATTGAGCTAGCCAGTCAACGTCGAGATAGCTCACGAACTGTTCATCGACTGTCCTACCATCATTTGCAAATGGTCGGGCACCGACCGACCAACGAACGTGGAGGCTAGATCGTCCTTGCCCTACAGCGAGTCATTCAATTGCTCGCTACGCAGTACTAGACTACTCATTGCTTGCTTACTACGTACGGTCATGATGGACCGGAAGAACGAGTGAAGAAACCCCCCCTCTAAGCCATTCAAAACGACCATGCGGAGTAGGCTGCGCATTTGGGCTGGTACCCAGACGGTATGCTAGCGGCTGGATTCTAAATAACACAAAAAGTTGTACATATCATCGCTTGGTCCTGTTTGAACATCCTGCAATGCCATGATAGATGCGGAAATATGATCAGATGCCACCCCATGTTTAGAAAGCAAAACGGAGCGCCTTCAGACACCAAACCAAGTGTGAAAAAAGCAGTATAGCGCCAACGCACTTCCACCCTGGACTCCTTTCAGCAGCGATGCGTACAATTGTGACAGACTTGGAAGAAGTAGTGATGAGAACGGGCGTCACCGAACCGAGTCCTCAGCCTCTCGTTCCTTCAGTCTCTTCTTGGCAATAGCGTCGCCGTTGCTCGCTGCTAGTTGCATCCAATGCAGAGCCAAGCACATCGACTGCGAGCTGCGTCTGCTCGAGCCGTCGGCCTGCCAATACTTCATATCGATCTTGAAGATGTCACGGGGAGCCGTCAAGGGTAAGCTGACAGAAGGGAGAAGCTCCGGGTTGCTCAGATAGAGGATTGCAAGCTCCCGCTGTGCGGTAGCATTGCCTTCCTTGGCCGCTAAAATCCACATTTGAGCAGCATCCCGAGGTGAGTATTCTGTGCTTCCAGGAGGCGGCGACTTCCTTTTTACATTGTCGTTGACCATGATTTTGTCTGCAACCGCCACAAGACTCCGGCACACATCGTCTTTGAATGCCAGGGCGGCGAGGCCGACATGCAAAAATGCCCTGCCACCGGGTGTCTTGTTCAGTATCTCCGGAGGAATAAAAGCAGTGATGAACTGAAGATCACGAAATAGCGTCTTAGGCCTCATTGTCATAAGAACCAGCTTGATCTCATTTACTACTTCCCTCTCACCTATTGACTGATCTACTGGCTGTGAAACCTGGGCCTCGACGCATTTGGCATCATCTAACCGGTGCCGGGAGGCTGATGCCGGACCAGAGAGGATTGCTTCAGCCAAACTGCTGCGGCGGCTTGATGGTGCGGATTCTGCAAACTTCCATGTGGCGTGCGTTTCGGTTGAACTTGCACTACCAGGAGGATGTATATTTCCCTGCCTCTCCCGAATGGAAGACACGACAAGGGATTTTAAATCGTGCAGGATATCGAGCTTCAACATCGGATCTGCTTGCCTTGAGAACCGCTTCATCAGGTCTTCGTACGCATTGGGATATGAGAACCTCTGAAGCGGTGCAAGAACCGGTTGTGGATTGTGAGGCTCGGCTCCGACATCGTCGTTCGAGACTGGTAGTTCTTGGTGAGAATGCTGGATCCCGGCGAGGAACGGTCCTGCTGACATGCTTCTGCGCGATTTCAAGGTACTCTTCGTAAGCCCAACGCCCTGGGTATACCTAGAATTGGTCCCATTCTCACTTCCCAGCAATCTTTCTATGCCTTTACGCTTTCTTAGCTGCCATCGAACCGGATCCTGTCTGAGCATGTCGGCAAGCCAGGTGTCCGTTTCGCTACCGCAGCTCCACACGGGAGATCCAAGGTCACTCAGCAGCAAGCTAATCACTCTCTGTCGCAATTCCTCAAAAAACTTTACTTTACGAGGACTGATTTGATCAACTAGCCGTGGACTAGAAGAATCATGGACAAAGGAAGGAGGTCGCGATGGTAGACTTGATACACTTGCTGCTGACTGAGGCTGCGTAGGTAGTGGTGACCAGAAAGAATTGATCGAGTCTGCTGTAGTAGCTGATACAGCTCGACTGGGGGAGTCAGCGATGGATAGCACATCTCCAGCCCCGCCATGGAGATCCCTTATTGTCCTCCATCTGTCAGAACCCAAACTGTGGAATGAGCTTTTTCGGCCTGGGGAGCTCTGCGTGTCAAATGGTTGCGGTCGAGAAGCAGTTTCAATGCCACGCAAGCTGTGGTGCGTCTGCGTGTAGCTGGTATGGCCTTCTTCGCTAAGGATGCTAGAAGGCCTTGTCACACTTGAAGCTGGCATTGACCGGGTAACGAGTCCGTCCACGAATGTGCGTTGGCGGAAATACAGCTCGCTCGACCAAAGTACTGGACTCTCTAGCATAGATTCTCCAACGAGTCTGCTGGCGGCCATTCTGATTTCCATACAGAATCGGTGGATCCGCTCTTCTCCCCTGCAAAAGTTGTCGACACCAGAACGTTGAAACCACTTTCTTGTCATGTCGACCTGCTCGTCCGCAAGCTTCTTCGGACCTCCTTGTTCGAGGGGTGCTTTCATGATGCTGATCGTTTGCGCTTCGGGCTCTTGCAAAATGGATTCTGCAAGAGATCTGGGTTTCTTTCTGCCACGGATAGATGCAGCCGAGGATTGATTCAGTGTCGAGCCGGGAGCAGCCATATTTCTCAGCGCCTGTGCAACGTTCCTTGTGACCTCGTAGATACTAGAGTTGGTAACGTCTGCCAAATACCACATTTTGTCCCGTAGTCTGTCCAAGCGGCCCAGTACATCTGACGTTATCGCAGACATTTTTTCGGAGGCATCTTCTAGATGGCGCAGACTAGTTTCCACTATTTGCGTCTCCTGCTGGACTTTATAATGGTTTTGTCTGGACATGGTCAAGATCGGTCGCAAAACCCTGGTGTCATTCTCTGTTAACACACTAAGCGGGTACTGTGTACGAAGTGTCCTTAAAGCTGTCCACCAGTATCGCACATTCCTACTATCAGCGTTTGCTTCTGCAAATTCAAGCTCGACAGCAAATAGTCGTTCAAGGGACTCTTTTATTTGAGAGGCTTTATCCGTCCCAGAATTGAATCTTGGCGTGCTGAGAGGAGTGTCATGTTCATCAATTAACCTCAAAGAAGCACGTTGCACATCGTCTAGTTTCCGAGAGGCGAGCTGGGGGTATCGCTCAATCTCTGATGATGATTTAAAGACTTTGGAAGCGCTGCCGCAGTCATGGGACTGTCCTGGCAATCTGCAAACTGCAGGATACCCATTTTTGTCAAGTTCTAGAACCGTCCACAGGTCTTGACTTGGATGCGGCAAAGGGTAAACCGCGCTTCGTTCCATGACGGCGTGAAGATCACGCCGTACTTGATCGAACTTCCGGACAAGAGCCGTTGCAGACGAATGATTGATGGTTAAAGAGTTTTGTATAAGGCCAGGAGCATTTGGTTGTTCTGATGGGAAGATTTTGGATAGAGGTGGAAGACCTTGCCGGTACTGGGCTGCAAATGCGGTAGCACTCGAGTGCAAGAATGGGTCCCATGTAGTAGGATTTGGCGGTGGCTGAGGTACCAACATGTCAATTAGCAGTAAGACATCAGAAATGGACAGGGTTAGGCAGCCAGGATACAGCACAACCGGTTCAGAGCATGGGTTGCTAACGCCACAGTTTTTTGGAATGTGGTTTGGGCACTCGATCGTTATCCCGATGAGACAAGATACCATCTGTTCAAGCTGCGATCGCATTGTTGGTAGCAAAGGAGTGGGATTCAACCTGCAGAAAACTTAGGCACATTCAAGCACTTTGTCCCCGGGGGGACAGTCTTACATTGGGTCTAGAAATTCGGCGACTCTCGATTGAGCTCGAATTGCAATTTCCTTCAGTATATTGTCTCTTGCACTTTTGCTAACATGGTAATGCAGCAACATTCCTTTCGTCTGAAAAAGGTCAGATGTAAGTGTCTAAGGAGCGTGGTAGCATACCTCGGGCATGGTTAATGCGGAAAAGAGGAATTCACAAAAGTACCATGAATAAAATAAGAATCCCCGAAATGAGCTTTGGTGCTCAGGTCTGGTCAGTTTCCCAAGGATAGCAGAACCGAAATGGAGAGCACCAAATGGTAGGCCGCCATCACCATCAGCAAGTATTGCAAACAGTTCCCGCACAGCGGTGTCAAAGAATTCCTCGGCTTCCTCGGTACGGAGAGGGTCAGATACCGGAAAACGGAAGTCATTCGAGCTGACATTGTCTTCTACGGGCTCCAACAGGAAGGCTCCTGTCTGCAACAAATTCATCAAGAAAAGCTCAATCCTTGGTTTTGCTCTCCACTCGTGAAGCGAGGCAAACCCGTTCAAGACCTCATTTAGAAGATAATGGTACGCCTGATCAGAATGAGAATAAAGATCTGCACAGGTCGACGACCAAGTATCCAAACGAATCACATAATCATTGGAACCAGGATTTGCAAATGCCGAGTACACGTTAAACAGCAGGGCTGATACCGGAGTGGTCCTTTCCAATGACCAGGCGGTGTCCTTCAAAGAATTGGAAAAGGCTGCATTGCGTTTCTGTTGGGACGCTTGGCTTGTTCCACGGGCCAAAGAAGAGAAAATTGAGTCCCTGGGTACGTGCATCTTGGGAGAGCTGGCCAAAGCTGACACCTGGCTTGGATTCAGGCGTTTTATGCGATCAACCAGAAACGAAGAATTAGTACGAAGTAGATGAACAAAGTCCAGGACATCTGCACGCGAGCCAGCAGGTAGCTTATCCATGAAAGAAAGGGAGTCCGGCTCCTGTGTTGATGATAAGGTCCTGTCCTCGCCATGAGGGTCGATGGACCGAATGCCTCGATTCCAAAAGTTACTACAGGCGTCCTTGAGATCCACAGTCGTATGGTATGCATTTGCAAAGCCGGTTCTATCGCCATTCTTCAGTGTTTCCACCAAACCAGCTTGCACTTGATCTAGTGTTCTTGAAAGCCTCGCAGACAAGGCTAGAGCCCTTTGTAATGTTCTTTGCTGCTGCTTCAATATATCAATCCTGCTTTCCTGGAGTCTATGAAGGTGCAGCTCCGTCGCAAACGCATCAAACGTGATCTCTGGAGATTTAGTGTCCTCGGATCCGTACGCATGAGGCAAGGGGTACAATTCGTCGGCATTAAGCAAGGTTGGAGTGGTCGGCGTTGGATCTTGCGGGTGCTGAGGAGAGATTTCGATCTGACTTGCCACCGAGGAAGGTCTCATACTGGGTTCATGTGAGGTCACCATGTGCTCTGTAGACTTCCCATTTTCTGCAGGTTCCTTTTCCGGGCTATCAACGGGCAGAGGAGGGAACAGTTTTTTGCTTGATGAGCACGTAGAGATTGCTGCGGCATTCTGTGATTAGAAAAATACTTCACAAAAGACGGAGAAGCGAGTAATAGCGTACAGCTGAGTTGAGTAGACTCAGGTAGAAGCGAGGCATGCTGAACATGGACACTGCCGCGGTTGGAAGATTCGTGATCTCGAGCTCGAGTCCTCTCCAGAGGTGCCAGGGTGCCGTTGCTCTCTCTCCAGGAGAGCGTTAATTCCGCTTTACTCTGACCACATGAGCAGATTCATCCCAGATCAAAGCAGCAGGTGTCAGTATCGATAAGAGTGGCTACCCGGGCTAGCTTTTCCGGGGAGTGGGACGTTTGCTTCAGATGTGCGCGCCGATCACATCCAAGGCCCGCGTTTCAAAAATGTGACGAAAAAGACGTTCGGTAGGCGGTGTCAGAGAGATTCAGATTTGACGCGCAAGGAATGAATCTGGTGAAGAAAGATGAATGACTTGCAGGCAGTTGACAAGTGTGTGTTGCCAGCGAATGCAGCAGACATGAGCTAGGGATCGTACTGCTCTGGCGAATGAGGAGGCTGAAGCGGGCGGAGGAAGCCAGCCGGGGGGGGATCATCCGCCGCCAGCTTGGGGCACTGACAGGCTGGACCAGTTTCGACAGATGCAATTGGGAAAATAAACCCCCAGCTCTCTTTACCTAGTAGTCGAATCTTTTTTCCCTACTCGACCCGGTCCTGTGCAGGCCTCAAACAGTAGCCTATGGTACGGCTGAGTGACAGGTCCCAATTCGGATCTCTAAAAGTGAGCTGGTAAGCCACCCTTCGCCACGTTGGACCATGCCCTATGCCACGCCGATTCAAGTACAATTCCCAGACGACGTCAAGAGACGTGAGTTGGCCACGTAAACGGCCTTCGACAGGGCATGATTTCCTTGTCGACTGAGCCTTCTGCAGCACCAGCGAACCATGGCGAGTCCAGGTGACGATTGGAAGAGAGTGAAACGGTTTCGTCGTGATGCACGGAGCTGCAGATCATGGGTATTTTCTTCCCTCTTGGTTGCAGCTTCATCTGCCACGTCGAGCGTCTAGTGGTGCGGCATACTCTACACCTACTAAGCACAAGCAGCAATATGCAGCTTCGCTGACAGCATCGAATCGCGAGCCTCGCTAAGTCTAGGGGTTCTTAGGCGGCGTCCGCGTTCGGCTTGATGTGTTGGCATTGCATTGCATTTTCTGCTACATTTCTTGCCATTATTGCTCCCAGCCTGACTACATTTTTGGAATCCCACCAATCCTCGATCATCTTTCTCGTGTTCTATTCCAATCAACCCGTCCCGCAGCCTCCGGCAGAGCGGTCTAGTTTTGGGTTCATCTTCACTCAATGCCTTCTCTCTCGCTCCTTCACCTCAAGTCATCGTTAGCCAGATTTGCTTACCGCCAGTGCTTTATCGACAACCGAGATGTGTACAACTTTGCAAACCATTGCAGGCAATGGGTTGACAATCAGTGCTCTACTGATAGACCGGCCTTGACGTGATAACCATCTTGATTGTCGCCTCAAGCAATCCTGCGATGAGGCCACATGACATCTTCCACGAGAACTCGCGCACCAAGGAAAACTGTTTTCGCAGGGGATATGACGGGAGGTGATCTTGGCAAACTCGAAACACTGCCTTCTGCCCGGTTCCTACAATATTCAAGTAGGACGTCTGTCGCCCTTGCGCGTATCAAAACTTCTAAAGACAAATCTTGCCTTGCGACAGCCCCACAAGAGTCTAGATCGGCTCTGCGACGTCAGCACTTTTACCCTTTACCGTCTGAACAACCAAAATCGAATGCGACGGCTCACTCAAATGAATTTCAATGAACCAGGATCGTTGACAGCGTCACTAACCATCGTTAGGAATAACCAGCCGAGAAAGGTCCTGGTCTGTCTTGCTTGTTCACATGCTGAGCACGACCTAGCGATGATTATGTTGATTAACTACATGTCACGACAGGCCCGGCAACTTCGGGCCGTCAACAGGCTTACACAGCATTAACAATGTTTCCCCCCCACAGAAGAGTGATTCTCAGGAAGGATAAATTGAAGAAGAAAACTGTTCTTTCGCTCTCTGATGCATAGGCAACCGTTCCAACCTTCGGTAACGTCGCCTTGTGTTTCTGAACAAATGCACTAAAACTATCGGCTGACTAGCATTGTAGGCTGGAAGGTTCAATATACAGTGGAAGGTTGCTGTAACCGCAAAGGTGAATATCTCAAACTCGGTGACCATAAGTCCATGAAAACTGCACCAGTCGGACTGAATATCTCGGTAACATTATTCGAGCGGAGAAAGATCTACAACTCTAAGCGCCCTCGTCGAAGTTGATTGTCACGAGTGCCATCGGCTACTTTAAAGACCGATGACAGTTAGATCATGCTAGCTATGCGTCATGATGGCGTTGACAGCTATCTTGTCTCAGTAGGGGTTTCACCAAGTCAGGGATGCATCATTTGAATACTTTTGCTCTGGCCAAAATGAGTTGGATTTGTGGTATTAGGTCAATGTATCAAGATGCTCCTTGGAGCAAGATCGCAATCGAGAATAGGTGTTGCCTGATTGATTCCTTTCTATCGGCACATGCGCAGGTATTCTCCTTTTCCGTTCTCTTCGACCCTAGAGAGGAAGCTTCTCCATGCAGTCAAAGAAGGAGAACACCATAGTGAAACTTGAGTTGCGGCCGTGCATTTCTCTGTGGTCAGTGTTGTGACTTCTTGCATTGTCTGGACCTGTTTAAATGGATGTCCTTCTCCGGACACAATTTCAGAAACCGACCCAGACTGATTTACAGATCTGCTTCGTATCTACTTCGTATCGAGAGATGCGACATGCATCCGAGATCTACAGCACCAGCGCAACGAAGACTGTAGATTGACCCTATAGGTATCTCTTTCTAGACAGCATGTTCCTCCATCATAGGTTTGATAATTTATTGAACGAAGTACTCACTCATCTTTGTTTACAATTCGATATGCGTAGCCCAAACCCGCTCCATGCAAGAGAAACGGTATCAAGTATCGAATATTGGTGGGGCTATTGGAAGTGCTGGCCGGTCACAGTGTTATAATCAGCCTCATAGCAAAAATTGAGTTTCAGGAGCAAGGAACTAAGCCCTCCGCAGGGGGAGGCGGAAAAGGAGTGTCACATAGCAGTAAGTTACCTTCATAGCTGTGGCGCCTTTGGTCAACAATGTGCATTACGTAGAGTCATGCTTGTAGAGGTAGCATTTGGTGGAACATCTGTCAGTCTCTGCTCTGAGTCTGCAGCCCGCGGGCCTGGACAGGATGAAGTCGAGGTTGCACCGTGATCAGGCGAACTGGATTAGTGGGTTGCATGGCTTTTTCCGTAAAATCGATGTGATCGAGTGCCAGGGTCTCTCGCTTCTTTCCCGCAGAGCCAAACTCGATTGGGCAGTGGATTGGAGATAGTGCTACTGGGTGGCGTGCCTGGAATAGGCCTTGAGTTGGTTATTCCTTGCTTGTAATGCCCACAGCGGCTCTCTTGTTCCATAATCCTTGGTGTCATTGGGTGCAAGGTAACAAGGTCGCAGCCTCGCAGGTCGGGAACAGAATCACCATCCCATTTCGTCAAGACAATCAATCTCACCTCATGCCGGTACGAGATCCTAGCGGCTACTCCATAATCACATCACCTAGTAGTACCTCGACACCTTCTCCTTGGAACTTCTACTACGTAAGGAATGACAGACAGAACCCGTACATCTATCTCCCACCTCTGCCTACATGTTCCGTTCTACCCCTTGACTCGATCTCCTCCAGATTGCATCAGACAAGCGACTAAGTTAGGCTCGAGGTCGAGATCCACTAGGTTACATAGTGTCTAGCTCTGGATCACATCCGTGCTTCATCTCTTAGCTGGTCTAACCGAGAGAGAGAGAGATCCTTCATTGTCGGCTCACGTTCACTCATCACAAAGCGAATAAACCATCACCGTTGATGACTGTCACCGGGTTTCACTTTTCTCACAGTATGGTTGACTACCAGCGAGGCGGGATTCCTGCCTCTCTTGCACCTGCTCACCGCAAACCCTTACCGGCAGCCCCTCAAATACCGATCAACCAATATCAGACAGATCAGCAGATTCAACACGCATCACCGCAAACATATCCTCTTCGTCGTTCACCCAACCACTCGCCTCAGTACAGCAATACCCAACAAGTAGTCTCGTCCTCTCACTCCCACACACGAACCATATCCTCCATATTTCCCAACACAGCGTCGACCCCTTCTCCTCCCCACAGCTCGAACCCTAATCGACGCTTCTCATCCCAAACCTCCTCTACGAACGGCTTCTCAAGTACGCAGCCCAACCCAACTATGACCCCAACCCAGTATCAACACCACATCCACCGCAGTGGTACGAATAACTCTACAAACTCCAACGCCCCTCGCCGAAGCACCTCCTCCCGTTCCTCCACCCTCCTAGCTCCAACCTCTTACGTTGCCCTTATGCGCAAACAGAAAGCGACAGTCTGGTGTGACCGGTCCCAAACCCTTGATGCCCGCACCGCAGCCGCCCAAAAAGCAGCCAAACACCGCGCAGCCCTGGAAGTGCACGGTGCAACCTCCGGCCGAACCTCCACAATCGCCAGCGGCAAAGTCCGCTCCGCCAAAGCCGGAGCCTACGTCCCTGCCAATCTATCCGGCGTCAGCGTCCCCGTCCGGTTGTCCGCGAACGAAATGCTCGGCGATGAAGAAGAAACCAGAAGTATCGGCGGCGATGCCGCAAGCGCAACAGCGAGGATACACAACCGAAGCGGCAGTGGCCGAAGCAGCGTGCATAGCGGCAAATATCCATCCGGCTACCCTCGCCCAATTCAAGCCAGCGGTGCCGCTGGCAGATTCAGCACGAGCAGCACCCCTCCTTCCGGCAACGAAGGAGCCGGCAGTCCCGAAGCGAACATACCCGAAGTCTCCGAAGGCCCTTATACCAACCATCATCATCGCCAGCAGCCGGAAAAGGACTACTTCACCACCTCCATCAGCGGCGGTAGTGGTACCAAGAGCGTCGGCACGCCCAGCTCCGGAGACACAGGAGCTTCAGGCGAAGAAGACCGATTCGGTGAGGCGGGTGAGCTGCGCGGTCCGTCAAGCCAGTCCGCGGTGGCGATTGCGGCCGAACAGGCGAAGAAGGCCGAGGAGTTGAGGAGGAGGGGAAGTGTGGATGAGAGAACTATGACGATGGGGGGCAAGGGGAGGTTGTTTGTTGCGAATCCGGATTAGGATGATGATTGGCCGTTCAGCATTTTTGGGAGGTAGGAAAGGGAATGTCTTTTTTGCATACAAAGTGTGGGATGGTCATTAAAAGATCCAAATAATGGCAGTTGGGAGACTATGATGATGATTGGCTTGCAAGGAATGGGAGGAGAGCTCGGGGTACATACATGATATGCAAGTTCTTTTTTTGATAGAGACTGATGTGCCAGACGATCCTGAGATGTCTGGGATGTTTTTTGATACCCTACTACTACTGTCAGAAAAGCGAGGCAAGAGAATAGGATTTACTACTAAATAATCAAATGGATTCGATCGCTGCTGCTATGCCGTTCTGACCTTGAGCCCGGAGCACGGCGAAGCATGCGTAGAAATGGTTTTTCTTCTTCTTCTTTCTCTTGCTACATGTAGAGAATCGACGTGGCGGGCAGGCGGGTAGGTCAGGGCTAGAAGCTGGGTACTTTGTTAGAACTGGATCTGGGGGGGGGCCGTTGTGGCTACATATGATGGGAAAGTGTGGGTCTGTCTGGTGTGACATGGTACGGATGGCTACTGGGTGAGCAAGCGGTTAGTGAAGAAGGGGATATAAACCATTGATGGATTGAAGTCTCATGTTTAGTTCCGGTGGATTAGTGTTGATGGGAGTGGTTGGTCGGTAAGTGGATAGATAGGTGGATAAGTACTCATAACAGAACGGGAGAAGGAGGAGAAGGAGAAGGAGAAGGAGAAGGGAAAAGACTCAAGTACGGAGCGTATTAGAAAGCACCTTGATGCCCGTAGGCTGTTTATCCAAATAATGTTCGATAGTGGGCTCATGAGCTAAAAACAATTTCCAGCACAGCGACTGGGTGTGTTTTCTGTAGATGGACGAGGCGCGGGAGCAACTCTCGTAGCACAGTGCAGCAGCAACGTATGTGTGGTCCACCCCTGTCCATTTCCAAGTTGATGTAACTCGTCGGAAGGCTTCTGATTATGCTCGGACCAAGGTGTCCGCTGAAAATGGGATCATGACGGCCCCAGAACAGGCGGCCCTCCTCTTCAGGCTCTGGATCAATGAACAATGAGAAAGTCTTGACTTTTACCATTTTGTGGCGGACTAAGACTAAGACCCGCGCGACTGCTTTCTCAGACACCCTCCATCTCAGAATCGTATCCACCACATTTCACTTGATGATTGCTACCTCCAACCTACCCATAGCTTTGGCACTCTGAAGGGTACTGGCAGTGGCCGCCAAGGGAGATTGTCAACGACTCGAAGCTCACATGCTTGAAAGGATGGTTGTATTGAAGTGCACTGAGAACGAGCCTTTCCATCTTCTTTTTGTCAAGGATAAGAGTCCTCCAGGCGACTGGAGTTCCGACATCCTTCCATTTCTGGCATACTTACAGACAGATTACAAATTCGGCCAAGGTGCCGGAATTTCTGAAATGTGCAAGTATGGCTCGGAAGGATCTCCATGGGTACATCGTTGATCGATTTCTTTGCCATGATGAGCGGAGGGCTACCTGTGGCAGACTGTACGAGCCTTCAGTGTCTGCCTTGAAGCAGGCCTTTCAAATCACACAAGAGAATGTGGTGAGAATCTTTCCACTCGAGCAAGGTCATCAGCGGAAGGGAGGTATGAATGCAGTAGCCTGAAGGAGAAGGAGGAGGATTGAAGTTCATATACATCCACTTCTCTGTTGACCAAATGGTTCGTCACTAACAAAGAACCCTACAGAATTCTCAAGAGCGTTCCAGAACGTACTAAAAATTAGACAAGCATCTGCAGTTTGAGAGGTGGTTTCCGAGGTCTTGCAGCAAACAGCTACACAGCATGCTGCAAGACAATGTTCTGGATGGTCGTCGACGATGGGAGGGCTAATAAATCACCACCTAAGACTCTTCTTTTCGATGAAGAGCAAAGGACAGACACTTTAGCATGGGTACAGCATCATCTATATGATGTGCTGTCGTAGTCCGTGGTTGCTCTTTGTGTGGCTCTGTCGTCAACGTCAGTTTCATTGGGGGTGAGAATGCTCAGATCAATCAAAGATGATGTTTGTGACTTGGCACGTTCGTACACTAATACCTTTGATGTAAATAGAAGCATCTAATCTCCTGGCAGATTTTCTCAATGGAGGTTGTCCCGAAAATAGCGCAAACTTGACCGTGTGAATTCTCTGCGCAGCCTATGCCAGGCGTGAAAGAGGTGGCTATGATCAATTTCTTTGGCACAAAAGTACGGCCAATTGTCAGCATCAAAAGAGTCGAGCTGGAGTTGCCCTCCATGCCATCTTGCTCTTCACTCTTCTATAGTGGGTGGACGGATGGCTCTGAGTTTAGCAAAAAATGTGCACCACTTAGTCAACGACTGCTGTACGACCGCGGCGGCAAGAAGAAGCTTGTGACGAGATTAAGACTATCGCAATATGGGGAAGGAGATTTGTTGTCGATCCTTCGTTGATTGGTCATTGGTCAAGCGTTGCAACCAGGCTGCGATTAAGATACCTCACAGGCTAGGAATGTATTCCAGCGCATGCAGGTAAAAGTACAATGCGTCAAAGCCATTTCTTGCATATTCAATGTACACACTACCCTCTACCCAATTCTTGTGTAGTCATCTTGATGCTAGCAGCATTATATCCGTGAAGGTACGGTGACGAGGATCATAGGCGCACACTGAGGACTTGTACCGGCTGGTAGGTACAAATTCATTATGAACGATGCAGTGGCTGGAACGAGCCCCGCAAGCAAAACCTAGGACTTAGTATTGACAGTTCTCCCGCCTGCTGTGGCGTAGGCAGCGCAAAGGCAGCGCGGAAAGAAAAGTGGCAGATGTGCCGAATAATTTGGGTAATATCAAGACTTCCAGCTTATTAGAGCTGTTGTAGCCGTTGTCAAGCAACCTTCTCCTGCCTTGCCCGTCCGTCCGTCCCATGTATCCAGTCCAAGAGTCCAATGGTTCCAAATTTGATTAGAAACTTCTCATGATGCTCATCATGCATTTTCGCAATGCCACTCAGAAAATCGTATCCACTATGCGCCGTGGTGGTTTCCAGCAACTCCACCGCTAGGAATACCCAGAAACTCACTACATGGCAATGCAATATCATTGGAGGAATCGATACGGGCAGGCTGTTGGCGAAGAAGTGCTCAATTGGATGTGCGTATTGTGCCGCCAATGCCACAGGTGCTGTAAAGCGATGATGGACCTTGTGGATCTTGGGGTATACTGACGGAAGATGTAGAATACGATGGGCGTAATAGAAGAGGACCTCGCGGAGGAAGACACAAGCAAAGGCATCGAGGATGACTTGATCGAGAGGAGGCAAGCTTGCGTCGAAACGGTAAGTTGGTTTTCCATCAGCAAGGCCACCCAGTGAGAGTAGGGAGATATGAATCAATGCAGAGAAAAGTTGATTTCTGAAGACCACCTTCAGACAGTCCTTCAATTCCGCCGGCGTTGGCTGCTTGGTTCGGGGCTGTAGCTTGTGACGCTGGGAGAGGTTGGGTACAACATGGTCAAGGGCAAGGTAAAAGAGGGAAGGTAGCCAAAAGAAGACGAGCTGGATAAGTAGTGTTCCCCAGAATTCGATGACTGGCGGCGGATGCTGCTTGAGTAGACCATTCCAAGAGAGTTCCATGGTGCGCAGGCTCAGCAAGAACGGGTGTCATTAACTTGATCCATCCAAGATGGAAGATTTCTTTCATCTTTCTCTCCATTTGTGCCGAGGTACTTTGGCATACAGGCTACATTACTGTAAGTAACGTAATCAGGATTAAGTATCAGCCGACGCCCCCCTCACACGGCAGCAGAGCTCGCCTGGTGATATGTAGGCGAGTACGAGCCCCCGCGAGCCCGAGGATTGGACGGTTTTGGCTTGGAAATGTGGTGATTTGAGATGGCTGGCTTGAGCTACTGCCAGGAGATAAAAAGACAATTTTGAGCATTACTAGCCCTTTTCACTCGTTTCAATTTTAGTACTTCTGATTTTACATATTTTTGGTACGCCATCGAGGTAGGGATTACCGTACCGCAGGCAATATCACTCACATTGCTCTTCGACAACATCCGTGGAGGAGGTAAAAAGTCACTTCTCTCCGCGAGGCCGCAAGTTGCTGTTGATGTTTCCTGTGGTTACACACACATGGCACCCGTCCTGCTGGAATGCACAAGCTGAGGTTAGCCTTGGCGGTCTGTCACACGCAAACCTGTGGAAAAGGGGTTCGGCCAGGAGCTATTCTCCTCTGGCTGGGTGGTGGAAACGATGGCATCGCGGGTGGGATGTCTTCGCTCAACCCCATTCTTCCTGTCTTATCCTGCAAGCAACACATCGATTGACTCTCACACTTACGAAACATCATGGGAATCCCTACTGAAGTAGTTGGCAGCCTCCCGCGCCCAACCTGTGAGTGAAATCTATCAAACTTCGAGCACTGACTAGTATTGACACGAAAATCAGACCTGCAGCAGGCCTATGCTGATTACGACGCGGGCAAGATCCAGCAAGATGATCTATTCAAGGCACAGGATAAAGCGGTAGAGGACTCATTGTCCCAAATGTCTCAGACAGGCGAGACCCTCATTACAGATGGCGGGCAGAGAGCAAGTTCGTAAGCCTTCCGAACCCAAGGACTCAGCAGGTGCTGATGTGACAAGCTTCGCAACATGTCCGATTACCAAGTACGTGTGATGTTGTCCTTTTTGCGTTAGCTGCCAACACTTCAACAGCACACTCAGCGGAACGGGTCTTGCTGAGGGACTTGCTGCTGATGGCCAGTACTTTGTGCGTCCTAGATTCCAAAAGCTGGTGCTTCACCTAACAACGAGGAGGCAATCTTCGACGACGCCCCCATCGTCGTCAACTGCCAAGGCACGTCAAAGGATCATTCAAGTCTGCAATCAATATCGCTGTAAACCAGCTCCCCTGACTTACAAGTTTAGATACAAGACATATGCCTATGATAACTTCAAGAAGTCACACCCTTATGCTAAAGGCGTTCCCATGAAGCAGGCTGTCATTGCTCCTAGCATGCTTTACCTTTTGTGCCCTCTCAATGGCACTGTAGAAGGATATCCAAAGGAATAATTTGTTGAGGATCTGGTCAAAGAGGTAGAGTTGCGTACGAAGACCCGCACCATCCAACTGACATGTGCAGTGTGAGAAAGATATTCGGGGATGCTTTGAGGCCGGTGCGAAGCGTGTATCTATTGACTTCACTGAAGGTATGCCGAAGTACAAGTAGAATGTGCATCTGTTTGATGATTACGCAGGTCGCCTGGCCTCGAAAAACGATCCACGCAATCCTTGGACAGGGGCAAATCTGTTGCAGACATTTGTCGATCTATATAACAAGTTCGTCAATTGACGACTTTGATGTCGGTCCGTGATTGGCAATGCTCGTAGAGTTCTGGATCGCTTCTCACCGGAGGAGCGCAAGAATATTGGTATCCATACCTGTCCCGGCGGAGACTGCGACTCAGTCCACTCAGGCGAAGTCAACTATCATGCTCTTCTCCCCTCCATGTTCCAAATGAACGCAGGATATTTCTTGATCTCATTTCATCGTTGAATCTATCAGTACACAGCTATCTTGTGTCTCCAATAAGATGACAACCACCAGGGCGTACATCGACTTCCTCCATGACAATCAGGTAGATCTAGCCTAGGTGGACGCTGCCTCGCTTAATGCCACAACCATTTTTGATCTAGGCAGCAACCTGGACGGCTTTCCAACGACATTTTTCCACCTAACGAATACCTCCTGGTATAAGTTTTCCGCAGACCATTCTCAGCCGATTCAGGCATACTATGGGGCATTAACATAGTATGATAATGGCACTGCCCCAGGTTTCCAGCCTGACGGCTTTCTCATCACGCTCGTTATTTATATTATCTCTGTGTTGCCATTACAGTCTAACGTCTCCTGCACCGGCAACATACGCGCCACAACCTCGCTCTGCAACTAGCCTGACACTTATAAACACAGTAAGCAATTTGAGCCAGATAAGACATTCAACTCTTTCTAGGGCCTCATGCGCGTCGCAACAGATAGACAATGGCCCAGCACAGGGCTGGCTCATTATTCAGTCCAGTCTTTCTAAACAGATGCCTTCCTGATGGATCCGGTGGGGGTTCTGGGCTCAGACACGCGCGGAGGGTACGCTGAACTGTGGAAAAATTGGTGCTGGACGTCCTCGAGGACCGGCTAACGCTGGCCTTCAATGCCTTCTACTACTCCGCAGCAACGCAGGCTTTCGTGACCGGTGTGGGGAGTAATACCCCAAGGGTCCCGGCAACCGCTCTCGACCCAATCTTGGATGCTATAGCGAAAACAAGACGCGACGGCGGACAGGTCTACAAGTGTCATAAGGTCTGGTTGGCGCTTGTCATGGGCATCTCGTTCGCTCTGGAGGCGGCGACCATCGCGACATTTCCACTCCGGTGGAACACGAGACTACCAGATTTCTTGGGCTATGCGAGCTCGTGGACGATGGAGAACTGGCACTGTGAGAGGGAGGAGCTGGCGGAGAGCTCGGCGCTCGATGCGCTCGAGAGGGCAAGACGGATGGGGGATAACAGATTTAGGACTGCGAATGGTAGGGAGGGGATGGAGGTTAGGCATTTGGCGCTTGTACCGGTTGGTGGGATGAGAGATAGGAGAGGGAGAGAGAAGAGGAAAAGGAACAGTGAGGGGCCTACTGGTTTGAAAAGGGAGACTATATAACTGATAGCCAGGCCATATGTACTACGTAAGGTATAGCTGATATGAACGCACGGGAATGACGGAGGACCTGGAGGAGGCCATCCGAGTGACGCGACAGGCGGTCGAGGTCACGTCCCGACGACCATCCCGATCTGGCAGGCTGGTTGAAAACTTTGGCGCATCATCTCCTACATACCTGGAGTTGTCATAATGCAAGTCCTCCTGTTTGAATCAGGGCCTCTGCCCTGGCTGTAAAACTGCTTCAAGGTCAAGGCGACTATGAATGCGCCTACAAGCTGTCGACAGAAGCCATCGATCTCCTGCCACCCGTACACAACAGATTTCTAAGCCACCAAGATCAGTAACATGTTGTCTCTGATTTCTCTGGATCAGCAACGAGCGCGTGCTCTCTCGCGCACTATAGCTAGGAGAGTTATGTAGGAAAGGCCCCAAAAATCCTAGAGCGGGGACTTAGGGTCTTTCTCAGCCTCCTGATTAACGATCGGAGCGAAATATCTAAACTAAAAGCAGCCTATCTAGAACTGTACGAACGTTATGAAAGTCTTTGCCTAGAAGTAAAAGCACCAGTTGAGAACCTTGTAGACCAGATCCTACACGATAAGAACCTTGAGCGACGAACAAAGATGATTGAGAAGCGGAACGGATGCATACGAGATATCTAACAACTTCCGGGATTTCGACCATCTCAAAAAGGAGTTACTGCCAAGCAGATACAAGGCTCTTCAGTGAAGGGATACATCGTTTTCATTAACCTTACTGATCTAGGAGGCGACGTCATCATCATCTCTCCGTATGGGTTCAAAGCTCTCCCCTCGTCTCTGCTTCGATGTGTCCCAAGCAAGGAGCCAGATCAAGCAGGACCTTACCGCGACTTCACTAGGCAACCATAGCCCAAAGAACAGATCTTTTCGACCAATTCTTGTCGTGGCTGTGACAAGAATGTGTCAAATCAGTGTTGGACGAGCTATGTCATCTTGTTCAGCAGTTCCGAGGAAGACCTACTGAGGATGTGGTGAATCGGAACTGGCTTCGCCAATTCTTTCCCAATTTCATGCGGCAGGCGAACGCTTCTGCTGGAATGAAAGAGAGTGATTATTGCTGTGTCATTTCGTCCTACAGCTGTCAGTCAAGGCTCGAAGATATGTCCGAGAGCCAATCTGATAGTCACGTGATTAGTTTTGGCGCCAAGATGCCAAGGTGCGAAGTCCCCCCCCCCCGAACCAGCTCCCTGCCCCTAAGAAATTTGGTGCACGTCTCCGCATTCCTGATGACCACCGGCTCAACCTCGGTGCGTCAGAGCCTTAGAACATGGCAAACAGCAACTGATGAGCCGCTACTCAGTGGACTGAAGCGCCGCCGAGACAGTATTTTTGTTACGCACTCGCTGGCTGCGTTTCTCTGCTGACTAGTCTACGAGAAAGTTTTAATGTTTTTAATGTGGTCGGCGCACTCAACTCATAAACCGTCTTCTTGTTGTTACCAAGCACATCCAAACCGTTGCGATAAGGGTAGGTATTCCAACCCCAAGCCCCACCCCCAAAGCAATTTTGTCCGACGAGCTTCTACCTCCTCCGTCACCGTCGCCACTTGCTTCACCACTCGAAGCTGGTCTTGTTGCTAGCGGAGATGTAGCAGAGCTCCCTGTTGTGATGGGGCTGGTTGTGAGGGCACTGGTTGCGAGAGGACTTGTTATGATGGGACTGGTTGTGTAGGGACTGGTTGCCAGGGGACTAGTTGCGAGGGGACTGGCTGTGAGGAGACTGGTTGTGGTGGGACTTGTTGCGATGAGACTAGTTGTGATAGAACTTGTTGCGATAAGACTGGTTATAATAGAACTTGTTGCGATGGGACTGGCTGTGATGCGACTAGCTGCGATGGAACTGGTTGCGATGGAACTAGTTGCGATGGAACTGGTTGCGATGGAACTAGTTGCGATGGAACTGGTTGTGATAAGACTGGTTACGATAGGACTAATTGTGACGCGACTGGTTGTGATGCGACTAGTTATGATGCGACTGGTTGTAATAGGACTGGGTATGATGCGACTAGTTGAGGTGCGACTTATTGTGATGCGGCTTGCTGAGATTAATGTCCTTGGAGTATTGAAACTGCTGGCGATGGATTGGGCTGGGATGCAGGGGCAGAAGTAGAAAAGTGATACGATAAGTATGCAGAAAAATGGTTTCATTATTGTTCTCATGAGAAAAGTAGGAGGAAGGTTCAATGTCAATTCTGGGGCTCGACAGATGACACCGCAAGATATACTTACCGCAATCAGCCTCGTACTGGCAGGACGAATAATGAAGAGAAACGCGGTACAGCCGCCATGAGGCTATGGCTCGGTAACGCCTACAATCAGTATTTCATGATTGTTCTGCACTGCCTTTCTGACATCAACCTGGTAGTATCCAAAGAGCTCAGCCAACGCTTGAAGGCTGACAGGTCGTTTTGCTTGCCGGCGGTCGGCTCTTCACATGAACATTTCATTATCCAACCACTTCCCTTTACCATCGAGTTGGGTTGGGCGCGAGACCTTGGCATGTTCCAATCAAGCGAACCAATACTCATGCCCCCAAAAAGTCTCTGTCAACCTAATCTTGAATCTCATAAGCTATGGCCGCTTTTGACGTCGGGCAATGTGCTAGAGATGTCGATACATATGAAATGCTTTGGCTATGCTAGCGGAGACTTCTTGGCGGCACCGAGTATGACGTTGCTATCCTCTTCCAGAAGTAGTGCTGCGAAAATCCAGAGGCGAAGTTGTCCTGTAAGGCTGTATCGGTGCACAGCAGTGATTTGATTCGTTGCCAACTGCAGCTAAGTGTGATGAAAGAGGTTATTGGTGTGAGTTCTCGCGACGTGTCAGAAGTTCTGATGCAACTCTTTTGGATAATTTTATTCTGTTGCAAGTCTCTTCCAAGTCCACGACGCATGATAAGTCTTTCCACCACGATGAATAACTGCTTGCCAACAATGACTGAGAATTGCCTCAGAACTTTTCATCCTCTCGTGGTAGGTGAACTTTTTTCTTTTTCACCTACATGTCCAGTCTTGGCAGGCGATCGTCGATGAGCGACACGTCTTCGAAAAGCCACATTCGAGAGCCACATTCTAACTCCGACAATCCAATTCGCAAGGCGTCAAGTACAGCGTTCAGGGGCTTGGCATGCCGTTCCCGTCAAATCTGTAAGAGGACTTGCATCCGCTGACTCATTGAAGTAAGTCTCGGTCATAAATCCTTCCTTCTCGTCTTTAATTTCCTGTAATTGACACAATATGTAAAGGCCACAAATACAGCATTGTGCAGAAATACTGCTTTTATCAAGTAACCTAAACAATCCACGACGAGCAGGAAAGGATTCCGGAGATGGACCCAAGCAGAGCAAATAGCTGCGGTATTTTTCTGATTAATAAGTTAGTCTCAGGGACAAATGGATTGCGTTGCTTGTGCTAATGAGAAGTAAGTGATAGTGAGGGTGACAGGTTGAACTCAGCATCTTCGTAAGGATCAAAGACGTCTGGTCTAGATGCTGGATAAAGACTGTCTATGAAGCGGCTTGATGGTCACTGAGGGTCGTATATAAACGTCAATGCCGCCATGGTCTCGGAGAGGGTGATAAATATATACTAGTTAGTAGTAGTAGTTATACTACTAGAGACTTGACAGATGCCGGGAGATAAAAGCGTGCAAGCGGTCACGGGCAGCGCTTGCCCAATATAGTTTCGGCACGGCACTCATATGCAGAACTTGAATACGGAGTAGTGTAAGCATTCAATCCTCTGTCAGTGGTCCACAACTTGAAGAGAAAACGGAACCCGGTTCATAGCTTAAGCTAGGGGTGCATCAACAGCTTTACTACAGGATGATGAGACTGTGAGCCGGCTCAACTTGGGCTCCTCGAAGCATGGATGTTGTTCTAGGCGCCGCACAAAAAGCCAGAATGGACGCGAAGAACCCTTCACTCTACCTCTGGCTGTAGCATACCAGCAAATTTGTTGTCTAAACTGGTGCCAGTAGTGAGAGTCATAACTCCTACTCTGATGCCTGGAACCACTTTCTGTAGCAGACGGTAAACTGCCCATTGAAGGTGATCACATACCAAACTCACAATGCATTTACGAACACAAAGCCCAACTTCTGAGTTGGACCTCAGCAGGACATCCTCTCCACCTTCCCATCGTTGATTCCCCGCATTTCAAGATCTCTCGTCACCTCGATCATACCACGTGAATTGCTTATCAAGACCTCAAGAAATACAACACAACCTGGAATGGCTGGTGACCCGGCGCTGAAAAACCTTCGTGTTCTCGAGCTTGCCGGTCTTGCTCCAGGTCAGACAAATCCACCATTTGCCTCCCTTAACCATCGCCCACTCCTCTGACATTCTTCATGCAGCGCCATTCTGCGGCCTTCTCCTCGCCTCATATGGCGCCTCCGTCCTACGAATCGACCGTCCTCATCCCCTCGCTCACCTTCCACCACCAACCG